TATCATTTTATATAAGATTTAAATAGATTTTTACCCAAGTATGTAGCTACAAAGTACAATTTTTATATATTTTCAGTGAAGACAGATTATTCTTTGTCTTTAGGAAATAAATGAATTCCTTTCTGTCTCATTGGTATTTCTGTTATGGATTTTAAATGTTATCACAAAAATATGGTAAGTATGCAAAGTAATGCATATGTTAATTAGCTAGGTGCCCTTATTCCACAATGTATGCAGTATTTCAAAACAACACAGTGGATACCACAGGTATACACATAGCATTTTTGTGAATTAGAAAAAATGAGATTTTAAAACAAGCTTCTATATCACTATGCCTGGCAACATTTAAGCTTTTTTAAAAAAATTCTATTTGATTTATTTATTTAATTATTTTTATTTTATGTGCATGTATGTAAGTGCACCCATGTCGTGCAATGCCCATGGAGGTCAGAAGACAGCTTCAGGTCTCCAGGAACTGGAGTTATGGATGGTTGTTAGCTGCTGGGAACCAAATCCAGGTCCTCTGTAAGAGCAGGCCAGTGCTCTTAACTGCTGAGCTATCTCTCCAGCTCCAACACTTAAACTTTTAAACATGTAAAATACACACAAGTACAAACATGCTCCTAATATCTCTGCACCTACCAGATATTGGATGCCCTTCTTGTTGCTGGTTCGAAATTCATGAGTGACATATCACAGCCACCAGTCTCATAGAGCGTAGAAGAGAACTTACCTAGTAAATAAATGAGTTTTTAAAAGAGCCATTAGAAAAGCCAGAATGTTTAACCCATAATCCACCAAATTTCCTAACTTTTTACATTATAAAAATACTACAATATGTTTTCTAATATATTTTCAATGATTTCCATGTAATTCAGAATGATGTAAATTAAAAAGGAAGGCTTAACAGTAGACTAAAATGCCAACATATATAACCAAGTATTAAAAGGAAGAAATTTGAGCCAGCCGTCTCTCTTCTCCTATAAGCACATTTTTCATTTTGATAATCATATGAATGGATTGTTTAATGTTTAAAAGTCATCTGGCTGACTTGCAGGTGTTGAGTGATTCTACGCAAAGCTGCTTGAATTTTGAGACAGTTCTAACTTCAGGACAAGAAAATGGTTAATTTTACTTTGTTGAGAAATGAAAAGTCAAAATGGCTTAAAGCAAGTTTAATAATGTTGGTGATATGCAATTTAATAAACATTACTAGTTATATAATTCTTCCACAAGTGTTGTAAGAAAATTTTAGGAATGGCAACTGTTACAGTCAAACATGTCTATAAAAACAATAACAGGATTAGAAATTAAGCTGGCTGAAATGAACATTGATAAAAACACAGATGTTAAAAGGCCAGCTCTAGGGAGCTGAGCTCAATCTCTCTTCTTTCTTCCCCGCCACAAGACCTGCTGAGCTGCTCCCTCTGCTTACCACGACCCTCTCTGGAACACAGGCTGCCTTCTCATCTTTGAAAAGAGTGAGGAATAACAGCACAAAACCCCACCTGTCCTAAAACGAACTTTCTAATACAAAGTTAATTCTAATAATGGAATTTAAAAAGCCCTGATACTGCTCAAAATGCCTTCCTGAGGCTCTATGGAGCCATATCAATGGTGGGAAGGGCATATAAATAAATCAACATAAACTTCTAAGAAGCCAATGAGTGGAGGTATTGAACTGTGCAGGCACTGGGGGCTAGTCCAGGGTGCTTTTTTAATATTATGAGGGTTGTTTCAGTAGTAGCTAGAATTACTGAGATTCTATGGTCTCAAGTAACCATGACCAGCCTCAAACTTACTACGAAGTCAAGGATGACCAAGAATCTCTGATTTTCCTCACTCCACCTCCATTAACGCTGGGATTATAGGCATGGGCCTCCACACCCAGCTTATCCAGTGCTGGAAGTTGAACCCAGGGCTTCATGCATGCTAGGCAAGCACTCTACCAACTGAGCTGTAATATAAGGGATCTTAAAAGATCTTAAAAAATCTTTTATTCCATTTCTTTGACAATATCCTATCAAATACATTATATAATACACATATACAATACATAGTGCATTCTGAATATTGTCACCCAATATGAAGACTCTTAAAAGGACAATTATAACTTGATGGCAGGGTGAAAAGTCAGATTTTTCTATGCCTACAACACAAAATGGTATGCTACGCAGATTTCCTATTTAAGTAACAAAAAGACCTCATAAAATATTATGATTAAGGGTTTATAGAACATTTCACCTATCACTTCACCTTTAAGAACTTGATCTAGTTAATAAGATTGCTTTGAATACATTCTATTGGTCACTAGATAAAACATGTACAATTTTACTTTACCATAGTATTGTCTGTGGTAACATTTTTTTGGGTCAGAATAAAATACTAAGATAAATTAGAAAAAAATTCTGTGAAACATTCAGCAGTTCAACAGAGATTGAGAGGGAACTGTTGGTCCCAGTGCACAGCAAAGGGGAAATATGGTGACGGTGGCAAGTTCTAATATTTCAGCTGTACTAATAAATGGAAAGAGAAACATTCAGTTCACTGGTATATTTTTAAAGGGAGGACTACTCAGAATATAGCTTATCTAAGACCGTTTTCTCTCCCCTTTCAGTCAGTCATGAGTCATTCAGAAACCAGCACTAGTGACCAAAAATAAGAGGAACCAAGCCGTCGATTTGCTCACTTCTTAGAAGCATTACTTAAAGTGAATCTGAAGTGTGGTCAAGTAAGCGTCAGAAAGTGAAAAAATTAAGTAAGAAGTTACTGGGTATGATGTTCAGTAAGAATGAATGAGTGCACTGCCCTGTCACAATCCATGATTCTTAATGTATTTCATAAATAAGTTAATTTTGAATTCAACTGTTCAAATGGCTGCAGTATTTTCTGAATACTTAAACTTCACATATACTTTAGTAACTTGGCCTGTTCTCCATATATTTAAAATAGTATTTCTATACAACCAAATGAGCTAAAAATACTATCTTTGTAACCTTTAAATGGAACAATGCAAGAACTTTAAGCCATTTTGCATGTTATCCTGTATGTACAGATGTTTCATTTAAATGTATGGAAATAGCTGCATTTTAAACATAAGCATAAAGAATGCAGCAAACAAAAACATCCCCCTAGCTTTTCTGAACAGAAAAAGAACTCGGAAGATTGAGTAGTTGGACTGCCATCTCAACCTGTAATGCTGAATGTCTCTATCTAAACCAGTGACTGAAAAGTGATAAAACTTGAGACATTTACACAGAAACATAAAACATGTCTAAGAAACAGGAAACAATGACTTCAACCAACATGTGTGACTTCAGCAGTGCTCTGCCTTCCTCTGAGGGAGCCTGCATCTGCCTACTAAAGCTCAGGGACATGTTTGGGTTCTTAACTCACACAGCAGGTGCCACACCATACACAGAACCACACTTCAGGGAGCCTTTCCAGGGCAGCTCCCTTTACCTTTGGGCAACTGATCAGAAGTGCCAGATTTCACTTAAGATAAACACAGCAGGAAAAAAACGCACTAAAAATATATAGCATATGGATTCCATGAGAAGTGTGGCTACAATTCAATGTACTAATATGATCTAACAAAGGATAAGTTGGGAACTCTATTCAAAAACAGCAAAACAGAAGTACATGCTGCTGTTGCTGATAACAATTAAGAATACTTTAATGCACTTTTGACATCATTATCAAAATTATAAAGTTTAGATTCAAAATAAAATGTCATTATGACTCCATTTTCTACCTTGAATTTAACAACCCTCATATTAAATACTATTTCTGATGAATGAATATAAACTGGGAAGAAAGCAGACCATCAATGAGATGTGTCCCCTCCATGAGAATGGTGATTATAGACAAAGCCCACCCCATTATGAGTCAATTACCAGTTCATAACTGAGAGAAAGGCTCCATGATGATTGAAGGAGAAAACAAAATAAATTTCTGACCAAATAAACAAGACTAAAGCTGGAATTTCAGATTTATAAAAATGATATTCATAAAATAGTATCTCGAAGTTCAAAAAAAAGTCAAGATATCAGGCATTATTCATTTATGAACATTTGCTGATTATTTAATATCTCCTTTTGAGTAGGAAAGTTTGCTTTTGTGTGGGGGGGTTCTTTTTGAGACAGCATCTCCCTGTAGCCCCAGCTGGCCTGGAACTCGCTATGTAGACCAGGCTGGCCTCAAACTCACAGGATAGATCCACCTGCCTCTGCCTCCTGAGTGCTGGGATTAAAGAGGCATGTCCCACCATGCCCAGCTGAGTAGGAGAGTTTTAAAGCAACTTCAGGGCAGTAAGAAAATGGTGAGCAGCAGGAAGATGAGTGAAACTGAAGACTTACGGACTGGGGACCTGGGCACCGGCCAAAGACAATGGCAGACAGAGCAGACAGATTCTCAACTAACACTGGCAAGACACTGATCCAGACCGGGGACAATGGGATCCTCTCCAGTCTCCCATGAGTAACAATCCCCAGCACTCGACACAAGGCACGCTGGAGTTTGAAGCACAGTACTCACCTGTGAAAGCCCTGCTCCATTCTCTCTGCCGCTCATTCTAGACACTTGTGTGTTCTGGAAGGAGGCAGTTTCTAGGACATATCTTTCTCTAACCCTCCAGAAACCAACAACAAAGGGGCCACTTTACCTTCCTGGATACTTTTCTCCTTGGACTTCCACTCCCCCTTCACTGTGCTCCCCAAGCCTGCACCTGCCAGTGTTTCACTGGAACCTCTCACTTTTCTAGTGCTACCCTGAGGGCAGGAAGGAGCTACAGGAGCAAAGAGCTATGTGGGCAGTACATCTGTAAAGTGCTTTCTAGAAGACAGGAGGACCACATACCCTCAAGTTCTAAGTGCAGACATGCTCCCTTCTGATGTGAAGAGTATCATGCTTTCTCCATGAATATATTATTATACTTTTAAGAGCAAAGGCCTTTGAAATCAGCTCTGATTTCTTCAGTAAGATTCTCTTATTATCAGGAGTGGCGACTCTGAGTCTCCAAGGTAACATGAGTGTCCACCCAGACAGAAATGACTCATGCTATATTGCTGCTAATGGGCTAATGGACTTGTCTCTCCCTATTCCACGGGTCAGCAAGCTTTTTCTATGAGGAGCCAGATAATGAGTATCTCAGGCTTTGTCCTATACTCTACGCTGGAGCAATTCGAGTCTGCCATTGTAGCATAAGGTCACTACAGACAACATGTAACACAAAACCTATGCTTATTTTATTTTTACAAAACCAAGAGTCAAGCCTGCAGGCTGTAGTCTGCTAACCCTTGTCTCCCTAGACCCAGAATCTTAGGCTTCTAAAGCCTCTTTAACTCTTGTGATACAATGGAAATCAACTTGTAATTTCAAGTTTCAATATTTAAAACTAGCCCTTCTTCCCAGAATGTGCAATGCTGTACTGGTTTTAAAAGAGAACAAGGAAGGGGGTAGATGTGTGAAAGAAGGGGTTTAAAAGGGAGCTTTGGAGGACAGTTAGACTACCCAGAGGTCATGGTTGCCTGGCAACAGTAAAAGAGATTCCATAAGCTGATGTATTCTCTGAACGGGCTTCCTTTCTCTTCTTACTGATCTCACTTCCCTCTTAGGGCTCCATTCTTGCTCCCCAGATCACCTGAGCTTTTCAAAGAGACAAATACAGCTCATATGCTGTATGAGTTCATCATCTGCTCACACTCTAGTTCAAAGAGACAAGTACTTCTTACC